GGTGAAAAATACAGATCTCAGTTGAACACTGTTACTTTTATTTTAATTTGTTTAACATTGCTTTGGATTATGAACAATTCGAAAGTGAGTTCAATTCCTAACCTCAAATATGGACCTCAAAAGCTTAGGACACTTACCTCAGTATGGCTACCAGCCCTGTGTTCAAACTGTGCCCATCAGTGGGTGATATCACCATGGAAGTCTCACAGAAGATGGTCTTCAGCTCAGGGCTCTTTCTATTTTTTTTTTTAATTTTTATTGGAGTATGGTTGCTTTACAGTGTTGTGTTAGCCTCCACTGCACAACAAAATGAAGCAGCCATGCACATACAGATATCCCCTCCCTTTTGGACTTCCCTCCCATTTAGGTCACCACAGTGCATTAGGTAGAGTTCCCTGTGCTATATGGTATGTTCCCAGTTGTCTATTTTATACATAGTATCAGTAATATATATGTATCAATCCCAGTCTCCCAATTCCTCCCACCCCACCCCTTTCCCCCTTGGTATCAGGGCTGTTTCTAATTGCACCAGCCTGATTTGCAATACCCTTCATTCACAACTTTACTCTCTGAGCCTTTTCCCATGCCATTTCCTCACCTTCTAATGTCTCCTCCTTAACTTATTCCAATATTTATAACCCTACCCTTCAAGTTTTATGTAAGAATGTTGTGTCCTTCACTGATGTTTCTTACATTCACAGCCATATTTGATTTCTCCTTCTTTTGAACCACTGTAGCCTATTACATTTATCACACTGCTCTTATTAAAATCAGACTCAATTTACAGTTATTTGTATATTTCTTGCAATCTTCCTAATTTTAAGCTTTCAGGGTGCTCAGTCTATGTTTATTCACCTTTGTATAACTATTTTCTTGGGAAATTTCTTGTGTATAGACAGTAATCAACCATTATTTGGTGAATTTGAAATCCCTATGAATTGTTACAGGTTTATAACTTGAATCAATTTTGATATTATTTATATTTAAAGTTCACTCATCATTTATAATAACATTTTATCCTGTGCACCTAAAATACAAAAGAAGTTTTTCAAAATTCTAAAAAACAAAAAGCCCCTTAAAATTAAATGATTTTATCCTCTTTAAGTACTTGGTTATGTTAGTGTATGCTTGAGTAAATTAAGTGGACACAATTTGAACACTAGAGTGTTGACATTCATATTTTAGTGTATAATATCTTCTTTGAGTGTATTGGCCATGATTTTCCAAACACTGTATCCTTTCAAAAAATAATAATATAGATACAGCTTAAGATATGCAAGTCAAACTCTTGGCTTCTGTTCTACGATTAGTGTTTTGACAAATTTCCATAGCTCCTTGGACACCAGCTGTTTTTCATTCTTCCTAAGGGCAAATTAAACCGTGACTCTAAACCACAGACCACACTAGTTTCTTAGAATAAGAATCATTCCCTAAAAGAATGAAATTACAAGACTCACACATGGAGTAAAATTTGTAAGATATTTCTTGAATTTAAGGCAATTGAATAAATTAATTAAAAAAAATTTGAAGTCCTTCTGTGAGAGGATGAGATCCAAAGATAACAGAAATCTTTGTATTTAAACTGTAAACAAAACAGGAAAAACAAGCAGAAAAAAAAAAAAAAACAGGCACATAATTCAGTATAAGACACTGCTGTGTAAGACTGATGTAATAAAAGAGTACAGACCAAAATACCATGGAGAAATCAAAGAAAGAAGAGGTAATCTCTAGCTGGCAAAATCATGAAAGGCTGCTTAGAGGAAGGGTATATGAGATAGATGCTCAGGAAAGGGTAGGACAGGATGTTATAGTAGGTAAAGCAATGAATGAACAAAATCGCCAGGAGAGAAAAAGCATAACACATTAGCCATGTTTTCAAGGATTTTGAGAAAAGATTGAGGATCACTTAATACAAGAGCAATTAGGGAGGCCATGGGGGTTTTAGGGCAGGGTCAGAGGTGCATATGAGAAAGATGGCACTATCAATTGATGGAGTTT